AAGTCCGAGTCTTTGGGCAGCAGGCCCTTTTACCTATATTGGTTAGGATGTTTTTGGATGCAAGTAAGAGAAATCTCAACAAAAACTTACACAGTAGGTGGATGTATTGGCTCATGTAAATGAGGAATTCATAGGATAGGTTCCAGGGTTGCTCCTATTTGGTGTCATCAAGGGTCCTAGAGAAGGCCCTATTGGTTGGTACCCAAGAGTCACTTCCTCCCCTTCTTTGCTAACAAACTTAACAGTGTTCCATCTCCAGAAGGGGAATCGTGACTAGCCCAAGTCAATCCTAAGGGAGAAATCTAAAAAAAGACAAAGCACTTTTTGCTTTTTTCTCATTGCTTTGGATGCTGGCTTGAGCACATGATGTTTAGAGCAACCGCAGCCATTCCATGACCATGAGGCAACATGTAAAGCCAACACACAGAGGATGGCAGAATGGCAGACTAGAGAGAAAGATCTTAGGTTCTTGATGAAATCATGGAGCTGCTGTTTCAAACGTGGACCTGCCTACTTTGAGATTTCTCATTATGGGAGATTATTATTTAAAGTCTTATTACCTGGGTATTTTGTTACTTGCAGCCCAAAGCAATCCTAATTGATACAGACTGATTTTTTCCCTCTCGGTGCACTGCTGCTCTCAGTGTTACTTTTATCTGTTGTGGCGGCAAAATGGCTAAAGTTTGTAACAATAGACAACACAGGCCAGAGGTGACAGAACACTTAGGAGTCCAGCATCCCAAATAAGAGTCCTGAGAGTCAACTTGATTGGACTAGCCTAGGCTGTCTACTCAGCCTTGAACCCATGATGGTGATCAGGATATGGAATGCACTGATTAGCTTATGCCCTTCATGTCTGCTCTTGGAACTAGGGATATGTCAGGTTCAAAATAAAATTTGGATTCTTTTAGCCATTGTTGGTGCCTTGCTCATATCCCCTAGGCCCACCTGGGTGATCACCTCCATCTTTGATGGACAGTTTCCATATACACTGAAGGTTTCCTATCTTAAGCACCTGTTCCTCTCTGCTATGGATGGTCTCTGGTCATGGGAGCATGGAGAAGGCTGGAACTAACCAATTCCCAGGAGCAATGCTCAACAGATGAAGGGATTTGGAGGATAATTACTTCTCTAGGTTTCCTTACCCTTACTGGAACAATCCTGAGTTATGTTCTACATCTCTGTTTTCCAACACAGTAGCTAAAAGCCACGTGTGGCTATTTACATTTAAATCAATTAATATTAGATAAAATTAAAAATTCATTTCCTAAGTTATACCAGCCTCATTTCAAGTACACAATAGCCACTAGTGGCAACGATATTGGACAGTGCAAATATATAACATTTCCATCACACAGGTCTTTTGGACAATGCTATTCTACACATTCTCTGAGTGTCCTTATCACAACTAAGCACCCCTTGACCACTTATTAATTTACCCTTATTGGCTTCCTGCCCTTTCTCATTTCATTCCTTCACATCTTCACTGGGCTTCTTGGAATCAACTTCCAAATAAGCTTCTTGCACCCAAATCTTTGTCTCAGTGTTTACTTTCTGGGGAACCCTACTAACATCATACTCTCAGGAATAGGAAAGGGAGGATAGGATATTGTTGAATACCAACAATTGTCCTTTACATCCTCGTTCCTCAAAGTGTGGTCCCTGGACAGGAATTTGTTAGAAAAGCAGAATCTCACACTCTGCCCCAGGCCTACCAAATCAGTATCTGCGTTTTAAGAAGATTCCCAGGTGATGGGTATGCACACTGAGGTTTGAGATGTCCTGCTCTCTGGGTCTCTTAGAGAGGAGGGGTGGGCGGGAAATCAGAACTGAGAAAATTTACCCACACAACTATGACTGCCATTTAAACAGGGTTTTATTTTGGTTTTTGTTTGCCTAAAAGCTCCAAAAAAGTATATTTCACCATTTTTTTATTTCAATACTTTGATGCCTTTACCAATGTTTGAATATATATATAATAATAATAATTATTATTATTATATATTTTTTCATTTTTGTCTTGGGTCTTCTGGCCCACTAACTTGAGGCCCCCTTTTCTTCCTAGGTGCCAGGACCTGAGGATAAAAGCTCACTCTGACCTTTAAATTGACCACTGATTTTCCTTTTCTGTCTCCACAGGGCCTTTACATTCCCAGTTAAGCACTTTATCATAAGGTGATCAGGGAGCTATGTACCTGACAAGGTTTTTACCCTGATGGACTTTCACATCCAGTAAGTGAATAAAACCTTTCTTCTAAAGACAATGGGATTCTCTATCTAGAGCCAAATTTGGTCTAATTAGCTGGCTCTGAGGTTTGCGATGGCAAGTCTTCCGGAAGTTAATAATGCTATTTTGAGAATACCTGTATGTTGCCTGCTTAATGAACATGATGATGGGAACATAAACTATTTTTCATTCCGCTAAGAAAGACTTTATCCCTATTCCCCATCTCACGTCTCAATGCTAGACTTGCTTTGTTTTTAGTTAACTTATGTTCAAATCACACTTTCATTAGTGTTAATTCGGTGGCTTTTGCAATGTTCTTTAAATCTTCAGCTAGCAAGTGGCTTGTTTCCTGCTTAGATCTGATGGAGGCCTTTTATTTTGCTCAGAAATGTCTTTTGATGATTGGCCTGAATGACAGAGGAATGTCTCACACCATGCACTTACATTTTCACTTGAAATGCGTCTGGATTGAACATCTTTTGCAGTTATTTCTCCAGCATTGGTTGAAGGATAACTATCCTGCTCTCTATCTGTGCAACCTGAGTGCTGTTTGATTCTTGACCCTTATAAGGACATCGTAACCTTATTTACTGGTAAGATGTGAGAAAAACATTATGTGACTGCTAAATCTTCTGAAACCTTGAAAATTTGATTGCTAGATATTGAAGTCTACAAAACAATTTGAGCAACTTTACGATCAGGCCTGATACTCAGTTATTTTGGCAAATAAAATGTTACTATTTAAAATATCGAAATCCTTCCATACGGGCTGTTAAATGTCCCCTGCAGTAAGTCCCCCAGTCCCCACACCCTGCCCCTCTACCTCAGCTGCTACAGTTTTTTCCCAAAACCATTCCTTCCTCCCACCACCATTTCACCAGAACCTAGCATCAAAGAATTAGTACTTGGCCTACCAGGCCCCCAATACCCTGCTCTAGTGCTGGTGCCCCATGGCTGACTTGACTTCCCATAAGTTGGTTGGCAGGTGCCCTGCTGTTATAGGTTGTATAGTTTTCCTATCACCCCTGTGAGGACTTCTTGCTTTCCCTACCTAGCACTTGAACAATGTTCAAAACATTCACAAAACAGCTCTGAAATCTTAGAAATGAGGTTCTATTTGGAATAGTAAAAGTAACTGGGTTGACTTTAAGATGGTAAGAGTATCAGGCCACCTTCATCTGGATGAGTGCAATATTCTTTATTATTATTATTATTGTTATTGTTATTATTATTTTTGGAGGCAAGAAAAGAATTGGGAAAAAGGGACTCTGGTCTTTTATTTCTTAATTTTTTGAAATATTTTATCTTATTTTGTATTTTATTTTATGGGTGAGGACTCTGGTGTTTTAAAATGTAAAATCCAATCTTCCTCCAGACTTTGCATCATCTTCTTACTCCATTCCAGTTCCTTGAGGTTCACAGAAATTGAGACCAGGAAAAGCGGAGGTAAGAGCAGGTTTCCGGCTTCCTCTTTGAGATGCCTTTAGGGCCCCCTAGTGGCTGTTTTAAGACAGTTTTGTTTTGTTTTGTTTTTTTTAGGATTAGGTCTCCTTGACCCTGATTTTTTTAAAAAAAAAAGACCTTTCTGAATTTCTCCTGTGACAGGTGCAATAAGTGTGTGGAGAGAAATAGATAACGGTTAGTTTAAAGGGCTCGATATTTTTTCACTTCTCAGTTCTTAGCAAAAGCAGTGCAGAATCTTTAGAAATAGATATATCACCTTACATATTTTATTCTGCATTTCTCATACTATATTATGTCATAGCTGAAATCCTTTTAAGACATTTATATCCTGGTTTGTGTCAAAGGGCTATAATTCATAGGTAAGTACATCTTACCTTAGGCTTTATACACACACACGCACCTATCCATCCCGTTGGTGGGGCAAAGGGATTCTTTTTATGTGGGGCTTCACATGATATTAACTAACAGAAGGGCTCCGTTTGTGGAATATTTCACCCTGACAACATTCCTATCATTTAGAACATTAGATATGCCACTGAGTTCAAACACTGCAATACTGAACTGATAGAGCAAAGCTTTATGCATTTAAGGTGCCTATTGACTGATGCAAGTAATTTTTGTGAGATCTTCTAATAATGAAATATGTCTTCAATGTATCTTATTGACCAGAGTGAATATTGCTCCCTAGCTCACTATGGTCATATTTTTCTTTCTAAAATCCAATCTAGACAATGCACTACCCTTCGGTAATTATAATTGAGATGTTTCTTTACCAGATGCTTATCTTTTAGTTTAGTTTCTGATATTATTCCATTATTTCTCCTTTGCTTGTAAATTTCAGGTCTCCCTCCCCTTCCTCAGTCGCGTTACCATTATTAATATGCTAATGTATTGTAATAATGCATTTTACACCACTAACGAAGTGAAGCAAAGCAATGAATAAAAAGCAAGCCCAAATTCTTGCTTTAACTTTACCCGGTTCCAGGGCGGGGGTTGGAGAGGGGGAGGAGGAAGAGTAGGAAGGACTGTCGACCCGCAAAAAATAAAAATGATCTCCTTGTTTTCAGCGCGTTCTAGAACAGAGCTGCACGTCAGAGGAAGAACCGAGCAGCATTCGAGCTAAAAGGATTGGCATTAAACTTTGACACTTTAATGGTCTCTAGGATAATAGATAATATTTTATCATATAACGTTCTTCTCCGACACGGTAGTGACATCAAAACCAGATACGATCTCCTATCCCTGCAAACGTGAAGGGTGAGACTCAGCCCCGCGGAGATAAGGCAGCAGGACCCCAGCTTCACAGTGAACTTATCCTGAAGCTCCAGAGCAAGCGTTTTTTACTTCTTCGCCGGGGACGCTGCTGTGTAACCGCTACCTTCTTTTTGCATTCTCCTCTGCTCGGTCTGCCGCTGAGATTAGGTAAACAGCGCTCGGGAGCTGGGGAAGAGCGGGTGGTGGTGCACGAGGGGTGGGGGTGGGGGGCATTGGGGCGGGGGGGTCGTTGCCTAAAGAGGCTGGAAGGAAGGGAGGGCATGGCGGAAGGGTCCCGGCTGGGTCGAGCTGAAGGCCGAGAGCGGGGTTACTTGGCGGGAGCCAGGTCCCGAGCGGAGTGAGGGACCAAACCTCCGAAACCCTTGGGCCCCCAGCCTGACCTCTGGGGAGTGTGGTCGGTACCGCAGCCCCAGCTCGGCGTCCTTTCCTTATGCACTCCCCCTCTGCCCCCCTGCCTTGCACTTTCTCTCTGCTTTTGCATCCTTTCCCTGCCCCTTCCGAGAGTAAGGTGGGCTTCCCGTTGCCTCATCTAAGCCCTAGAGCCGAGAAAGAGAGAGAGGCACGCGGAGGCGAGGCTGGGACCCGGCGCCCGCCGGGCCGGGGAGGAGTGGGGACCCGGGAGGGAACGGGACCCCAGAAGCCCTGGGACGAGCTGAGGAAAAACCCGGGAGCTGGATCGCGCGCTGGAGCTCCGGTCTCCCAGTCAGAGTTGCCCATCCCTCTGCGTCCTTCTCTCCCGGCCTGTTCTCCCCTCCTTCGGGTTTTTCTCTCCAGGCCTCCTCCTTCCATCCATTGTCACACCCCCGCCTCCTTTGCCCAGCCGATTTCACCCACTCCTTCCGTAGCTTCGTAGCTTCGGAGGACTCTCGGCGCCCCACTCTCGGCTTTAGGGCTGGGAGGCTGGAAGTCCATTCAGTGGGATGTCGCGCGCGGGGCTCTTGTGCCAGGAAGGAGAGCAAGAATGAAATCGGAACGGGGAGGGGCGTGTTGTGCGTGCATGGGTGTGTGTGTGGGGGGGGGGCAAAGAAATGCAGTTTTCCCGAAAGAACAGGGAGGCTTGGACCGGATTCTTGGATACAGAGCCGCAAAGAATGCTGTCAAAGCCCTTCATCGTGGCTCCTCGTAGCCTCAGGCTGCCCCATACCCTGCCCACCTCGGTGAGAAGCGGCGACCCGAGTAGAAGTGGAGGCGGGGAAACTTCCTACTTCCCACGACGGCGGTTTTATACAAGGGGGAGTGGACAGGCTGCACGGCCCTGCGAGCCTGCCGGCGTCTAGACAGCGGCAGCTGCGGACCCGTCCCTCTTCCCTTCCCCCTCTTTGCGCGAGGCTGGCCAAGCCCGAGGCGGCCGGGAGCGGCCGGGGTGGGGGGAGAAGGGCGGGGAGCTCCCAGCTTGCACCCTTTCATCCGGACCCCGGCCGGGATCCCGGCTCCGGATGTTGCATCCACCCGCGTGCGAGCGAGCTAGAGAAGTAGAAGGGAGGAGCCTCGCGCGAGGGGGCGGAGCCCAGGCGGGGGTGGCCTCTCAGTCCGTGCAACTGCGGCGCCTGCCATTGGCCGGCCGCGCCGTCACGGGGTGGAGGCGGGCGCTGAGGCGCGCGCTGGCCCCGCCCCCGCCCGGAGCCCGGCCCGGGCTCGCGGTCCCCCCCAGCTGCACAGACATGACACAGACACACAGTCACTGCAGCTGCTGAGCGAGCCCGGCGTTCTGGGCACGCGGCGGCGGGGCCAGCCCGGAGCCCGGACCCCAGCGCCCGCCTGCACCGCCCCCCCCCGGCCCCCCCCGGCCCCCGCGCGGCGGCCCCCTCCTGGCCGGGCGCGGGAGGCGGGGATCGCGCGCCGGCTCCGGCCAGAGGCGCCCGGCTGCCGGCGGCGGCTGCAGCGGCCGCCCAGCTCCGAGCGCCGGGCGCTCGGGGAAGCCGGCGCGTCTCGGAGGCGGCGGCGGCGGCCGAGGCCGGCGAGCGCTCCCGGCGGCAGCGGGGCCGCCCGCCTCGGCTCCCCGCACCCACCGCGCTGCGCCCCGCCTCCGCTCCGGTGACCTTCCCGGGGCGCCTCCCCCGGCCCCGCGCCCCCGGCCCCGCGCCCCAGGCCGGGGCGAGGCCCTCTCCAGCGCCTTCTTCCCGCGGAGCCGCGGGCGGGCGGGCGGCGCAGGCCCGGGGGGAGGGGGCGCCGCGGCCGGCTGCAGCCTCTCCTCCGGCGCTCTCGGCGTCCGGCCCGGTCGGACTGCCGCTGCCCTGCCGCCGCGCGGAGCCCGGGCGCCCGAAGCTGGGGGCGCGGCCGCGCTCGCCTCGCGGGGCCGGGAGCGGGCAGGCCCTGCCCTGAAGGGGCGAAGCGTTGGGGAGCGCGGGAGGTGGAGCCGGCCCCGGCGGCCGCCCCGCGTCTCTCCCCAGCGCCCCCTTCCCGGACCCAGCCCGCGGCGGACGCAGGCCCCTGCCCATGAGGGGCGCCCCCGGCTCGGAAGAGTCCTTGGGGCAGGGAGCAGCTCCAGGCAGCGGCGCCGGAGGTAGAGAAAGAAGGGACAGTGCTCAGCTTGGGCGGCCCGGACCCTCCCCGCAGCGTTTGGAGCCGGGGGCCGCCCCGAAGTCTGCGCTTGGCACCGCCGCTTGAACTAGGGCAGCGCCTGCTGGGACCCCGACCCGGACCCCCTGCGCCTTGTAGGCGGCGGCGGCCCCGCCGCCGCGCCATCCAGCTCTTCCGCGGTCTCCCTGTGTTTGGCGGCAGTCACGGCCAAGGTAAGAGCCCGGGGGTGCTTGAGAGCCTCGGCGGGGGCGCCCTGGTGAGCGGCGCCGGACAAGTTCTCCGAACCTGTAGCTGGTATCCCCTGTGAGGGCACACCCTCAGCTCCTGGGTCAGGAGCCTTGGACAGGCCGGAGATGCAAGTCCACAAGTCTCTGATGTCCCCAGGACCCTTCTCAGGGACTGCCCCGCTCCTAGGCACGTAGGCTGCTAGCCGGGGGCAAGCAAGGAGGAGTTTCCCGTCCACACCGGGAGGTGGTGTGCCCGAATCTCGCACCCGCCCCCCCCAAGTCCCCGCAGCTTGTTAGCTGTGGGCACCTGTGCTTTGGGGATCCTGCTGTGTTTTTCGTTGTCCCTGTTGGGTGATCTTCACCTGCCTTTCCTGGTGTGATGCTGTAAAGAACTTTTCTTTGCTCCTTGTGGTAGAGAGTCAAGGCGATTTAGGGTGAGCAGCCACAGCTTTCTAGTCCCTCTATAGGACAGAGTGGTTGGATGGCAGCGCTCTCTGTAGAGAGGAAACCCAAGCAGAGTGGCCGTCCTGTTAGACAAAGCTGCTTATGATGAGTGATCAGTGTGTGGCGATCCAGGCATTCCTGAAGGGTGCAGTGACTGACTCCAAAGTTCGTGCATCCTTAAGTTATTTTGTTTATTGCTCTATTACCTTCTTTAACATTTTCCTTTTTAAGGAACCTCAGTCCTACAAGGCTGTCCTTGCCAGTTTGAAATTTATTAAACCTTTGAGATTTCCCTGGAACAATCTGATTTTAAATGGGTCACTTAGGCGGGAACAGATTGTCTCTCTTACATTGAATCCATTCCCCGGGTGCCCCTGTTTAATGGCGATGGATTTTTCTCGTCCCTGAGCTGATGTACCTCGGTTGAGCAGGTTTCTGTTGAATTCCGAATCTGTGAATTTTGTCACTCGGTCCATTAAAATGATCTCCTGAGGGAGCAAAATAGCAGCTTACATTTTCTGTGAATGTCACAGGAAGTTTTACAGGGTCTTATGTAAGTTCCCCAAGAGAGCACTCAGGCTCCTGCTTCCTTCTTGGGGGGGTATGAGGTGGGGCAGCAGGTGGGGCGGTCACCTCCCATAAATGCAGATCGGTCCGTCTCTGACACAGGTGGAAACCCAAAGTGCTTATTCACTCCTTGGATGCAGTCACTTCAGGCTCATTTTTCTCCTTACGTCGCTTGTCTTCCCTCCCCAGGAGTCAGCTTTGGTAGACTTAAGACAAGGGAAGGTTCTAAATTAGGAAAGGAATAAGTGGTGTTTTCTTTTCGCATCTCTCACAAATGGGTGACATGAATGAATTACTCACGGGCATGAGTCCTCACTGGGGATAAAAAAACAAAACAAAACAAAACCTGGCTTTAAGGTTTCACACATCTTAGTATACCTTTATATTTCAAGAGTGTTTTACTTCAGTGAAAATTGTTTGAGGAGAACACACATTTATCGAGGCTGGCCCTGTTAATTCCACACCAGGAAGAAAACTAATTGGAACAGAGAGGCAGAAGTTGTCAAGATTTAGATGTTAGTGGGTTTTCAAGTAGTGGCAAGGACAGGAAACAAATCTGCCCAGTTGGATAGAGAGGTCTTCAGAGCAAATGTGGGATCACTCTGGAGTGGGCAGTCATCCACTGACAAGTGTGAGTCCTTTTCCTTCACGTAGTGAAGCGTGCTGGCTAGTGGGTGAACTTTTTGGTGTGAGGTAATGCAGATCACATTGGCTTTTAAAGCAGATATAAGGGCCTTGGAAATGACACGTCAGGTTTTCCGGTGTCCTCCTAAGTCCCAGAGAGCTTCCATCTCTTTGGAGAGATGTGACGGTTTCCTTGGGGTTGTGGGTTCCCGAGCTGAGCTTTAATGTGGATGCAGAATGCAGGAGTGTCTCCATCCTTCAAGCCACCTACAGTGGCAGGACACTAGGGGGACTAGTCTTCTATTCTACCACCAAGGAAGAAAACACAAGGACCCATGTTACAAAAGGTTGTGGTTTATCTTTAGGTTCCTGAACTTGACTTTTTGGTACCTGATGTATGCTTGCATGAATGAATGGATTCCAAATGCTGGACGATGGGCCTGATCACATCTAAAGTGTCATTTCGACAAGTCAGGACTGGTTAACTGCAAAGTTCTGAGTATATGAGGGCTATACATTTCAGGGAGATAGAACCTCCTGCAGACTCCATCCTTTGGGCATTAGACCATGCTAACTTTGTGTTCCCTGAGGATTTGTGATCAGAACTGCCTTTTTGTTTTGTTTTCTTTTGTTTTGGACTGCATGTCACCTGCAGTCTTCATAAAAATCCCATAAAATCATCCATCCTAAATGGAGTCTAGAATCAACTCCGTCAAACTTGGAATTTTTTACCGTCATCCCTTAAAAATACATACCTTGTATTTT